TATTTTACTAAAACTTTGTGGGTTGGGAGGGGTAGGGGCTAATTTATGTTGGCAGGTTCTAGATTGTGTGGACTAAGTGTTCGCTAGTGCTGTTATAAACTTTGACACTTACATGTGTTTTTATTGTGCTTGACCAAGACACTGCTGATATTTAGGACACGGGACTGTGAATAACATTCATCTTTTAACACATACAATCGAACAACCTAGTGAATAACATTCATCTTTGAACACATACAATAGAAAAACCTAGTGAATAACATTCATCTTTTAACACACACAATCGAAAAACCTAGTGAATAACATTCATCTTTTAACACATACAATAGAAAAACCTAGTGAATAACATTCATCTTTTAACACATACAATCGAAAAACCTAGTGAATAACATTCATTTTTTAACACATACAATCAAAAAAACCTATTTAGAATGGTCTAAGTAGGCCGATTCTGAAATTATTTACCGAGGAAGTAAAAAGTTTATTTTCAAATGTCCAGGTTTATAAATACTTTTTCTGTTAATCGTTCCCCCAGCTCGGTGTTTCAACAGCTAATTCCAAGGTCTTAAATTTAACAGAGAATAATTTACATGCTTGTCAGGGAAATATTGAATCTACATCTACGACATATAAATTTAAAATGTATGGGATATTTCACTTCCTTGATACCCTGGGGTGTTTAAAATAATATATAAATGTCTGCTTGTAAGTTGAGACATCCGTAATTTTAAAGCTATTATTATCTTTCTGGTTTTGTAAGAAGGGTTAGCAGAGCGTGGCAGCCCACTTTACAACATTGTAGATAGCGTCGTCGTCTTTAAACTTCCGTCAGTCGCCACTATCCGATGTGACTCTAAGGCTTCTGTGTTCTTAGTAAGTCTAGCCGACAACAGATCAAACTTAGCAGTCTTCAATTTGGTATGTTTTGTGGGTTTTTTAAACATTTATTTGAATACTCGGCTTACAATGATTTCAGACTTCGTTGTATCCAAATTAACTAACCATTTAATTCCAGAATGATACTCAATATAGTCAATTAACCAATTAACGCCGGACTTTTTCCCAGCCCCCCCACCCCCCCCCCCACACAACAACGTCGTTACATTCCAGAGCAATTACCTCCCTGTCATTACCAACCAAAGTAATTATTTCCCTCTACAGATCAAGAATGACACTAAAATCAATTTTAAAACTTGAATATAAAACAAACTACACAAACATCGGTTTCAAAATTTCTATTTTCTTAGGGAAGGTTCTGAAGTACCGAAAACCGAGAACCCTAACCCTAACCCTAACAATAACCCTAACCCCTGAACCCTGAACCCTGAACCCTGAACCCTAACCCTAACCATAACCCTGAGCCTGAACCCTAACTCCTACTAATCTTTATGCTTATTCTATCGTATTTCTATCTCTTAATGAATAATTTTCCGTGTGTGTGGGGGGGGGGGAAATGATGGAGGTGGGTAATGTAAAGTTCTGCTTACAACCATTTGCATTATACGTTTCTTAAGGATGATTGCAGTAATGCAAGTATAATTCTCCACTTTGTAAATTTGTAAAAAAAAAAAAAAAAAATAAATAAAACTGTTTTCGTAATAAGCTTCTACCTTGTAAAGATTTTGACATCTTTTACAAAAATTGATGACTAAATCAATTCAAACGATTTCTGTTCTAGCAAAAATATTTTGTTTATATGTATGGGCATTTAGAAAATCAGAATAAAGATAATTCAAATTTATTTTATGTGCTTTTATACCCATTAAAATAATAACAGTAAAGTAGTTAATCAATTTTTACATTTCGCTACAAAGATACATTGTTTCAATTATGTATTTTCAGGTAAACACCCAATCAAATATTAAAAAGTATAAAACCGAAATAAAAAACAAACTTCCAAGAAAGTAGATTTTAAGGTTTAAAGTTTTTAAAAGTTCAATATTTATGCTAGCCGCCACTGACAAAGATGAGGATTGAAAACCTGATACAACTCACCCTTAATTACTCGTGCTTAATTGTTTTACTCCTATGTTCAACGAACCAAGTTTTGTGCTTCATATTATCAACAAGCAAATCTCACACAAATTATGATTCTACGATTCACTCAGCTCCTGAAGTACCCAGCCACTCGCCTTGTGTGCAACGGGTGGAGAATACAGGACTTACAATTGACTGTAGGTCGTTAAAGCTGACAGGCGTTTTACCATCCTGGTTCCCCCTGAATACGATGTCCATTTTATTAGACAACAATCAGTTGACCTCTGTACCCGCGACCTTTGCCCACCTACGTCATCTTCGCCGTCTCAGCTTGTCAAACAACAGCATTACAGATCTACAAGCAGATACTTTTTCAGGGCTAGGGCAGTTAGAATATCTAAATCTCAATTACAATCCGTTAAAGATACACCACATGTCTAACGACACATTCGCTTCTCTTGAAAATCTGACTGAGTTGTCTATGCTACAAGATGTAAAACTGCAAATTACACCCTACCCAATTGAAGCGTTCTCAAGCATTTTAAACTTGAAATCATTGACAGTAAGCGTTGATTATGAATTACTCAATTTCGGTAAAAATTTCAGAAGTTTAAAGACATTTTCTGAATTAAAACTGAGAGGAAATATAAGAAAGGTAACAAAAGATAGTTTTATAAATTTAAGAAATATCAAACTACTTGATCTAAGCGTAATTCGAACGATAAAAGAAATCGATACTGGTGTTTTCCAACCACTGACAAATTTAAACCAGCTTTATATCAGCGATCTTCGAGTCCACCTTAAAGTAGTTCTTGCAAGTTTAAGTGGGCTAGTAGGCCAATCCATGGATACCATCGTCTTAGATTATGTTCGATTTTTCGTCCATGATAGATATTCGGATATTCTACAAGGTGACGGTATCTTAAGCCGTAAACACACAAAATATTTGACACAGATATGTGTTGCTCATGTCGCTTTAACTAATTGTAAACTTTACATCATTCGTGACAAGGCTTTATCTAGTAAAACGTGGGATCGGTGCTTGGAGAGCCTGGACCTTACAGATAACCCTATAATGGGAACGAAAATTGTCGTTTTACACTTGCTTAAGATGAGTAACTTAGAGACGTTAATCATTCATGACTACTCAAAACCATTCGCTGCTAAAAATTCTCTCCTGAAAACTGATTATGGCAATATGTGCAGAACGTCTAATCCTACACAAAACTACAACTTTAACTATAATCTAAACGATAGTAGCTACATGTTCACGTCTAATATTAGCAACGGGTATAAGTTATACATTTCCAAGTCTCTTCGATGTTTAAACTTTGGAAATTTAATCACGGATTTTTCGATTGAATCAAATGGAACGTTTGTATTCGCGGATAATCTCGTTTATCTAGATGTATCGGATGGCGGGGGGTCAATGTTTACCCATCACCTACACGGACTGACAAATATTAAAGCTTTTATTCTATCAGGCAACGAACTTACTGTCATCAACAGAACATTCTTCGACACGATGCCAAGTTTAGAGACACTGGACTTGTCAAGTTGTCAGCTCAGTGGTCAGTTTATGACAGAGTCTGGGGGAAGATTGTTCCAGAATCTTCAATATTTAAAGCAGCTTGATCTGTCTTTTAATCAACTGGCGTTTCTTAGCCCTGAAATTTTCGCCAACAATGTCAATCTCAAAGAGCTTTTTCTTGCAGGAAACAGGTTCAGGAAAATTCCATTTAGTTTAAAGAACACACCTAGGCTGAGTATCTTGGACATGAGATTTAATGAATTGACGAGACTTCCTGTCGAAATAAGAAATAATTTGGACCAAATTTTTAAAGAAAACAAGGAGTTCAGCTTTTATTTAGAAGGAAATGTTTTATCTTGTGGATGCCATGACATCCAATTCTTACAGTGGATACAGTTGACAGTTGTAAATATGGATATGTTCAGGAACTATTCGTGCGTTGATAACGACGGAGTTTTAACATACACGGCAGCTTTTTCAGATCTACAAATTTACTGGCGTCAGTGCTGGGGAACTTTGTTCCTGTATCTTTCAATGATCCTGTTTTGTTTACTAACCATTGGATTTGTGTTGTGTTTTTTTGTTACCAAATATAAAACTTACATCATTTCTGGACTGCTGAATTTGTTTAGTGAAACCTTTCTAAAGAAACCTTCCAACTACGAGATTGGTGTCTTCATTGGATATGCTGATAGAGATTACCAGTTCGCTTGTCATGACCTCAGACAGTTTATCGAGGACACGCTGGGGTTAACGACCTTTATTCGTGACCGTGACCTCTCACCTTCAACCGACCTCGCGTCTGGGATTATCGATGCTATAAATAGAAGTTGGCGCGTGCTTCTGGTCGTGAACGAAAGTTTTCTCTCGCAAGACGATTGGTTCCTCTACACATGCAGGTCAGCCATATCCAAACTGACGCCCGCTAATCCTAATCTCATTGTGATTATGGTTGACAGCCAGTTACGTCATCGTTTACCACGTGACATCCTGGGGGCGGTGTCAGAGGAAAACATCATCGTCATGAACGAGGGGAGGAGACTCAAGTATGACGTCACGGAGAAGCTGAGAACTCGATTACTAGCCTAGCCATTTTAAAGACTAGTTCACTCAATACATAAAGACTAGTTCACACAAGACATAAAGGCTAGTTCACTCAGTACATAAAGACTAGTTTACACAAGACATAAAGGCTAGTTCACACAAGACATAAAGACTAGTTCACACACGACATAAAGACTAGTTTAAACAAGACACAAAGACTAGTTCAAAAAGATACAAAGACTAGTTCACACAAGACATAAAGGCTAGTTTACACAAGACATAAAGACTAGTTCACACAAGACATAAAGGCTATTGACCTCTCACCTTCAACTGACCTGGCCTCTGCCACTATGCAGGCTATAGACAAAAGTTGGCGCGTTCTTCTGGTTGTCAACGAAACGTTTTTGTCACGTGACCGTTGGTTCTTGTTCATGTGTAGAGCAGCCACATCTGCTTTGACGTCTGCTAACCCTAAAAGGATTGTCGTTCTTGTTGAAGATCAGTTACGTCACCGTCTGCCAGCCGAACTGTCGAGAGTTGTTTTGGAGGATAACATTGTTGTTACCAGAGGAAATTTCTTAGACTATGAGCTGAAGGAAAAACTAAGAACACGATTGGTAGAATAAATACAAGTTATTAACTAGAACTGAAAGGAAAATGTTCACAGAGATTCTCTTATACACTTTGACATAACTACGTTTTAACTGATTTAAGTTTACTATTAAGATAAAGGTTCAGATTTTTAAAAAACATTTACTTTGAAAATAAAACATAAAATTAGTTTAGAATATCTCTCATTGTGTAGGTTTATATTTGTTTCTCTGTTTAACAATCATGCTTTTGTAGATAACAAAACCAACTCTTATGCCAACATAGTCTCTTTACTTTTAGCAAGGTTCTATTTTTTACTATGTTAATTTATATACTATAGTGTTTAAATTTTAAAATTATAGAATAAATAAACAAAAATACGACACACAGATAAGTGGTAATGTTTTATAGAACTTTAGAAATAATTAGACAGCGTTCAGTATTAAAAGGCCTAACATTAACTATAAATGTTGCTTAAGTTAATTATTCAGTATACTTTAATACAAGAATTGTAATTCCAATTTATCCGATTTACTCCGATATCGTCTCCTGTCAATATGAACTATCCCTTAAACGATCTGAGTAATTTATGTATTATGTTGCTAATCTTATAAGGATACGGGTAATGGTAATCGCAATGGCAATGGCAATGGCAATGGCAATGGCAATATCAATGGCAATGGTCATGGTCATGGTCATGGTCATGGTCATGGTCATGGTCATGGTCATGGTCATGGTCATGGTCATGGTCATGGTCATGGTCATGGTCATGGTCATGGTCATGGTCATGGTCATGGTCATGGTCATGGTCATGGTCATGGTCATGGTCATGGTCATGGTCATGGTCATGGTCATGGTCATGGTCATGGTCATGGTCATGGTCATGGTCATGGTCATGGTAATTATAATGGTAATTATAATGGTAATTATAATGGTAATTATAATGGTAATTATAATGGTAATTATAATGGTAAGGGGTAAGGGGTAAAAGGTAAGGAAAAGAGGTAAATGGTGAGGGTATGGTTAAGGTTAAGGATAAGTCTAGAATCAAACATCTACTGCAGTAAAGCAGGATGTCTAATTGAACCCGGTAGTTTGAGAAAAAGTGGGGATTTTTTGTTGCGTTAGCCAACGGAGTCTCCGTTTGCTAAAAGGGTATTTATGAATAGATCTTTGATCTGTGTGGGTTTTTACATTTGTGATAGGTGGGCTGTGACCATGTGAAACCAACACTCAACAAAGCTGCGGCACGTTTTATTTATTTATTTTTTCTTTCTGATTGCCTTCATGGTGTGCTTATTGTTACGTCCTGATTGGTAACACTTATGTTTTGGGCGTTGTACTGTAATTTTTCAACCTTTGTTATAGGAAATATATCTCATTGATATTTTTTTAACGTAGGCCTACGTTTAAAGGCAAAAGGAAGGTAACGAATGTACAGATTTTACCGACTAAATATTCCGATTGCAGGCTTATTCATCCAGGAAGTAAAATGCATATTTACTGATTAATATATAATCGCATTTCTATCAAAAGCTCTTTCATAGAATAGTTCATTCTGTCTGTTATGAAGTCATCAGTATGGTTGGTACTGTTGCCTGCAGTGAGAGGTTAAAGAAAAGATATCAACACAATTTCAACACAGCAACCTTAATGTGATAGATGGTGAAACTACACACTACATGATAGTCTTAATATGGCCTAAAAAGGAAGATAACTTGCTCATTAAAAGCGACCGGCCTTAGTGGCCAGCCCTACCACACTTGACAAAACAAAACACGTTTATATTCTAGCAAGGCTAAAGTTGAACTGTCCTATCTCTCTGGCCCTCACCACCCAACCACAATAAGGTATCTCATTACGTGTTTCCCAAAATTTGCATCCCTGGTAACTGGGACGTATTCAGGTCAAAGACCAGGCGACCGAGAGGGTTGAGGGGATAACCCACTAGCATCAACAATGGACTCCTTTATAACACTGTCATATCCATACCAGTTATTATATCTTGTTGTTAATTCAAACAGCAATGTATTGAATTGACAGCGTCGATCAAGGAAAACAAATTAAATCACCAATAGCAGAGTTATGAATAGGAATGTAATCTATATTTATAAAGCAAAGTGGTCGGGTGCCCGGTAGGGGACTTCCAGGCGCCGCAGACGCTTCAAATTTGGCAGTATCGTGCCTTGGGGCGACAGAACACGAGGGCCAATGCCGGTTGGCCAACAAGTCCACGAAAAGGGGGTCAAAACAAAAGCTATATATCGAAAACAAATTCCCACGTAGGAACCTCTTCACAACTCTTGAGGTCGTAGACCGACCGCAGGGATGGCAAAAAAACAAGTTAATAAAAAGTCTAGTGACAATTTAAGCGCAATTTCCTTAATTATTTTTTGTGACCGAACGAAAGAATATTTTTGAAATCTTTCTTCGGCAATTTTGTTCTAAATTATGGCAGAAATCGATTGGTAAATGTTTCATGCCGCTAAGTGGTCTGGTTGCCGAGATATGGACCAAAAACTGCATTTTTTCGAGGTTTTTTGGCTTTTCCGGGAAATCCAGGAAGGAATTCCGGGATTTTTTTTGGCCCACAATCATCCTCGGAACTTGTTAACATATTTGCTTTGGAACTAGTCCTCGATATTGCTTCGTTGAGGAGGAGATACGACTTAAAGCTGCGGACACACATCGGACACACATCGGACACACATCCATCCTTGACAAGTTAATAATCGCAATTGTCCGTATGGAAATTGCGCTAAAAACTATGATATGTTCTGGAAATCTCTCAGGAAGACCGTTACAACTGACCGGTCCGATGTTTCCCTATATAAACATTGTTAATTTTCCAAAAAACGATAGCTCTTTTCAAAACAGTGTTTTGGAACTTTGGCTATGAACATACGGCTCATATTTTGCATAGCAATGCGTAAATGAATCAGTCGTATAGATAAACCATCGGTCAGCCTCTGCTCGCACGGCGAGGGCTAAAAAATGACCGCGAGTGAAATTCTCCTTGTATGAGCTGTATATCGAAACGAAAACCCAAGTAGGAACCCTTTGAAAACTCTTGGAGATGTGCATCGGCCTCAGGGGTCAGGGAAAAATAGCGCTACCCTCAGGAAAATTCCGGAACAATGTTTAAACTGACTAGAGGCCATATTTACTTATATAAACATAGTACTGTTTTGTAAAAAAAAATACAAATGTCTGGACTTACAAACCCAATAATAACTCCTAAGGTCTTAGAAATACCCGCGGGGGTCACTATAAGAGAGGTGTTATCTTCGGGAAAATTTCGGAAGGGCTTTAGAACTGACCGGTCCGAATTCCCCATATAAACATTGTTAATTTGGTGAAAAACGATGACTATTTTCAAAACAATGTTTTGGAACTTTGGCTCTGTATATCTGGCTCATTTTTTGCATAGACCTCGATAAATGAATCGGCCTTATGGATAATTAATTGGTCAGCCTCTGCTCGCACGGCTAGGGCTAAAAAGTGACCAAGAGTGACATTCTCCTTACATTAGCTATAAATGAGAAAATGCCGAACACCCTGATAGTTAGTTAAGTCGTAGAACGACCCTGGAGGGTAACAAAAAAACTTTATTCCCGTCGGAAAAAACCACTCTCGTCGTTAAATATGTCCAGTTTCCGTATTTCTAATAAATTGTTAACCATCCCAACGAATTCTTAATTTCCTTTCACAAAATAGATGGCAAATAAAACTAATACTTATCTACAACTGAAAAAGACTATTAATATACTACATTCTAGTGATGATATTTCTTCTTCTTTCGTAACTGTAATGTTAGAAGGAAATTCTTCAACACAGGTAAGTTTTAGGCATCAACACGTTATGCGCCAAACAGGCTATTGACTCCTATTTCTTCCTGATTTTCTATCACAGCCCTTCTCCATCCAAGAACAAACTACAAGCCAAAGATATTTGATTATTGGAGTTTTCTCTTCTGGATGGGTTGCTGTTCCCAGCTATTGAGCCTGATCTGCCCGGAAACTCAGAGGCGACCATTGCGCTTTACCATCACTGTGAGAGGAAGTGCACACAATTGTTACACCCTCCCCACCTTATGATGTTTCTCTACCTCGATACAACTTCGTTTAGGAGGTTTGATATTTTCGAGACATCAAAAGTTATTAAAGAATGACTCGAATAAATTTTACTTGTGTTTGAACGAACATTTTCTTTACAATTTTATGTTTGCAAATTATGAAACAAAATGGCTTTTCTGTACGTATCTTTTAGCCTATCAGTCAGTCAATGTGCGATTAACTCTTGAAAATGAAATCTTAAAATACTTTAGATTTCATTTAGGGGATAAAATATTTTCATAGCCTTTACAAAGTTATTTGACCCCTCATCGTGGCAAAACAAAGTTTTTATTATTGGGAAAATGTCTCCGTCCAGAAACTATAATTGTGTCTTCAAAAATAATTCAGTTGCTGCTAGCGAAGTCTGCATAGCTGTTGTGTATTGCAGACTTACATTAACGTTTATCGTATTTATGTTTTTGCAGACATACAAAAAACCCACTTGTCTTTAAAACGATTAGGACATTTTTTACGCAACATACATGTCGTAAAAGATTACGAGTACATTTTACGAAAGTGGTACGGTTTGGCACGAATTGTAGAGCATACCACTGCGAACATGCAAACCCAGAGAGCGAATCGTAGGTGTCAGTAAAACCAGTGTTTCTTCCAGACTTTTTTCTCCGGGGGGCACTTGAAATTTTCGGGGGGGGGGGCGGTAGACTTTCTTCGGGGGGGGGGGGCGGACACTGTTAAAAGTATATATTTTCTATATAAATTATATAAATTTCATTTCGTTCAGGGGGGGGGGGGTAAAAATGTTGCGGGGGGGGGCTTGGAAGAAATTCTGTGTAAAACGACCCTGAATCCGATCACCACTGATGTGTACCTGACTCACCTTAAGGAAAATAATTCTGACATAATTCAGAACACATTGTTACTTCACATGGCGAAGTAGCTGTTACAGGGGAATTCTAATTCACCTGCCCCAATTGCCGTCAGTTTCGAACGGTATTTTAATTAATTCAGGAAAAAAATTATCATCGGTTTGATCTACTGCGACGTATTTATATTTATCGCCATCGGGAAATGTAATGTAGTAATGTAGAGAATGTAACGCTTCGATGGTTCTTGCGAAGGCTCCGGTTAGGTCTATAAAAGAACAGAATATGGACAAAAACTTCACATACAAGTCATCGCTAAACTGGCTGTAGCAGAGAGATGGAAGCTAGAGATGGTAGGACTTTAATATTATTTTGCTGTTTATTTAGCTAAAAAAAATTTATTTACAGATTATTGTAAAAAAGGTGATCGCTAATGTAATTCAAGAAATTTATTTTTAGCAAAAATTATACTACGTTTTATTTTTATTATTTATAATTTTAATATAATGAAAAAATGTATCAATACATTTTTTATGAAATCTTATATCTGGTAAAAGTAGCTATAATTAAAGCATTTACGTATTTTATATTTACATTAATCTATACAGATTTATCAACCAATTATTATAAGTTTCAGGGAAAAAAAGTTACAACAAACTTATTGTAAAATACATGATACAGAAAAAGTTTAAAGCCGCTGGAACAAGAACAATATATTTCTCGTCATTCAGATTTTAGGATTTTGAAAGTTGAAACTCAATGATACAAATATTAAGCATAAAAATGAGTATTACTAGAAATATATCACATTCATGTAATTACCTTTACCTAATGTGGCTTTTATTGTGTTCATTGGACATAACTTTTTGTTTAATGTTGTCACCAAACACGTCTCATGACAGCGGTGACTTTAATAATCAACCAACCAAATACGAATTGAGTCACTCAGCTCCTGACGTACCCAGCCTTTCGCCTTGTGCGCAAGTTACGGAAAATAAAGAACTTACAATTGACTGTCGGTCGTTACAGTTGACAGGTGTTTTACCTACCTGGTTCCCCCAGAAAACGATGTCCATTTTATTAGATAGCAACCAGTTGACCTCTGTACCCGCGACCTTTGACCACCTACGTCATCTTCGCCGTCTCAGCTTGTCATACAACAGCATTACAGACCTACAAGCAAATACTTTTTCAGGGCTAGGGCAGTTAGAATATCTAAATCTTGATTACAATCCCTTAAAGATATACCACATTTCTAACGACACATTCGCTTCTCTTGAAAATCTGACTGAGTTGTCTATGCAACAAGATGTAGAACTGCCAATTACACCCTACCCCATTGAAGCGTTCTCAAGCATTTTAAACTTGAAATCATTGACAGTAAGCGTTGATTGTGAAACCTTGCAGTTTGGTAAGGACTTTAGAAATATAACGACATTTTCTGAATTAAATCTGAGAGGAAATATAAGAGCCTTAACAAGGGATAGTTTTATAAATTTAGGAAATCTCAAACAACTTGATCTGAGCATAATTCGAACGATAAAAGAAATCGATACTGGTGTTTTCCAATCGCTGAAAAATTTAAACCAGCTTTATATCAGCAATCTTCGAGTTCAGCTTAAAGTAGTTCTTGCAAGTTTAAGTGGACTAGTAGGCCAAACAATGGATACCATCGCCTTAGGTTATATTCGATTTTTCGTCAAAGATAGATATTCGAATATTCTACAAGGTGACGGTATCTTAAGCCGAAAACACACAAAATACTTGACACAGATATGTGTTGCTCATGTCGCTTTAACTTATTGTAAACTTTACATCATTCTAGACAAGGCTGTAACTAGTAAAACGTGGGATCGTTGCCTGAAGAGCTTGGACCTTACCGATAACCCTATAATGGGAACGAAAATTGTCGTTTTACACTTGCTTAAGATGAGTAACTTGGAGACATTGATCATTCATGACAGCTCAAAACCACAGGCTGCTAAAAATTCTCTGTTGAAAACTGATTATGGCAATATGTGCAGAACGTCTAATCCTACACAAAACAACAACTATAACTATAATCTAAACGATAGTAGCTACATGTTCACGTCTAATATAAGCAACGGATATAAGATATACATTTCCAAGTCTCTACGATGTTTAAACTTTGGAAATTTAATCACGGAATTTTCGATTGAATCGAATGGAACGTTCGTATACGCGGATAATCTCGTTTATCTAGATGTATCGGATGGTGGGGGGTCAATGTTTACCCATCATCTACACGGACTGACAAATATTAAAGCTTTTATTCTATCAGGCAGTGAACTTACAGTTATCAACAGAACATTCTTCGACACGATGCCAAGTTTAGAGACACTGGACTTGTCAAGTTGTAAGCTCAGTGGTCAGTTCATGGCAGAGTCTGGGGGAAGATTGTTCCAGAATCTTCAATATTTAAAGCAGCTTGATCTGTCTTTTAATCAACTGGCGTTTCTAAGCCCTGAAATTTTCTACAACAATGTCAATCTCAAAGAGCTTTTTCTTGCAGGAAACAGGTTCAGGAAAATTCCATTTAGTTTAAAGAACACACCTAGACTAAGTGTCTTGGATATGAGATTTAATGAATTGACGAGACTTCCTGTCGAAATAAGAAATAATTTGGACCAAATTTTTAAAGAAAACAAAGAGTTCAGCTTTTATTTAGAAGGAAATGTTTTATCTTGTGGATGCCATGACATTCAATTCTTACAGTGGATACAGTTGACAGCTGTAAATATGGATATGTTCAGGAATTATTCGTGTGTTGATAACGACGGAGTTTTAACATACACGGCAGCTTTTTCAGATCTACAAATTTATTGGCGTCAGTGCTGGGGAACTGTGTTCCTGTATCTTTCAATGATCCTGTTTTGTTTACTAATCATTGGATTTGTGTTGTGTTTTTTCGTTACCAAGTATAAAACGTACATCATATCTGGACTGCTGAATTTGTTTAGTGAAACCTTTCTAAAGAAACCTTCCAACTACGAGATTGGTGTCTTCATTGGTTATGCTGATAGAGATTACCAGTTCGCTTGTCATGACCTCAGACAGTTTATCGAGGACACACTGGGGTTAACGACCTTTATTCGTGACCGTGACCTCTCAATTTCAACTGACCTGGCCTCTGCCACTGTGCTGGCTATAGACAGAAGTTGGCGCGTTCTTCTGGTTGTCAACGAAACGTTTTTATCACGTGACCGTTGGTTCTTGTTCATGTGTAGAGCAGCCACATCTGCTTTGACGTCTGCTAACCCTAAAAGGATTGTCGTTCTCGTTGAGGACCAGTTACGTCACCGTCTGCCAGCCGAACTGTCGAGAGTTGTTTTGGAGGATAACATTGTTGTTACCAGAGGAAATTTCTTAGACTATGAGCTGAAGGAAAAACTAAGAACACGATTGCTAGAATAAATAGAAGTTGTTAACAATAACTGAAAGTAAAATGTACAAACAGTTTCTCTAATACACTTTGACATCGCTAAGTTTAATTTAACCTTTGTTCAATCTTCTAACTAAAATGTGAATGTTCAAATTATTTGGGTAAACTCAATTGCTATTTAAAAACAATTATTTTACTTCTTGATTTTTTAAATAGTTGTTTTAATATATATTGGATATTATTAATTAACATATTTTTACTAACAAGCTGTTGATTTTTGTTTGCTTTGTTGGTCTTAAGTAATTAAATATCACTTTTCAAATTACAAAACAAAATATCATCTAAGTGTACTACTAAGATAAACGTTCAGATATTTCTTGTTTTTTAATTTTACTTTGAAAATAAACTATAAAATCAGTTTGAAATATTTGTTATGTTTCTTTCAAATATAGAAACAGATAGATATGTGGCTTAACAATTACCTTTTGATATATATCCTTAAACAGTTCAAAATAGGCAAAATTAGAAGCAGATAAGTAAAAATTGATTTGGCCCTGGGAGGTCAGGAAATGGGAGAAATTAGGCCAGGGAGGCTCAAAGGGTTAATTTGAAGTTCCCAGCCAGCGGAGTTAATAGTGTAATAGTTACCATGCGGATGGTAAGGGTTCGAGACACATCATGTCAATGTAAAAAAAAAACCACTATTTTAGATGTGAATGATAAAATTGCCTATCGGGACTTGGCGGGACACGGGGCAGGTGAAGAAGAGTTTACCTGTGTCTGTATCCTCAGCATACGAAGCGATAGTATGGTCAGACCCATGTTCAGCCGAAATCGGTGTATTTACAATAACATGTTAACTGAGGTGTGACGTCTTTTTGAACGTGGGGTCTGACTTTTTGTGACGATGTGAAAGCGGAAAGATAAAAATCTTCAAACAAACGTGACTTCATTTATGGATTACTCTCGAAACCCACGGTTATTCAAGAATAACTGGTAGTCTAGTTTTCCTTAAAGTTAGGTCTTATGGACGTTTTATGATTGTAAAACTGACTTAAATAAATTTAATTATATTGAATCTTTTGAATGGGTGGGTTATGTAACGTAAAGTATGATTATAATTGGAGCAGATGGTCCTTATATTTTATATGAAGTGGCTATTGACCTACAGCACTGCCTAAAATGTATTGCAGTTAATAAAAACATTCGCCTTGAGATTAAAATCTTTGGCCACTAGTGAATAGGGTCGTGATTGTAATGTCGTATATAGAATCTTTTGATGTGAATGCATTCGGCGCTACAGCTGATGGTTTTAAATAGCGGAGATACATTTTAAAACCACGGCTTAGGTTTTGGTTGAGTTACCAATGCATTTTGAAGAAAATGAGATTCGAATCAGAGATTAACATATCTTTTATACCAAATGGCTTAGAAGGACGAGGTGATATAACTTCCTTGATTAGGCGGACCGTGAGAATGTTTCATGATGGTTCTAACATCCTCTTAAATGTAGTTACAGAGTATTGTCTGATAATATCTGAACAGGCAAGCAACTGTTGGCTACACCCGTGTGTTTTTTTACTTTCATCAGCAGAGTTTCTTTCATTTGTCTCATCAAGTTGGAGGGGAGGGGGCGAGATAATTGCAGTCCGAAGCTCGTCCACGGCCATCTCCTCCCCCTCCCCCTCCCCCGAAGAAATAGAAAGAAAACGTACATAGACTCATATACTGGTGTCATATACTGCTGTTTGAAAGCATTCCATTTGATTAGCCTCACGATGACTTAACTAAGACGACTGACTAGTCGCCATGTGACGTCTTTAAACTCTTACATTGTGTACAGCCGGGAATTGATAGCGAATTTCATTAATACAAAAACGTGTTTAAGGATTATCCAAGCGATCAACTGGATTCATACATTTCACATTCAATACGGTCAATAAGTTGATAAGATATGTTGTTACTTTGAATAAAAAAAAACAACAACTCTAAACTAGACAACCCAGTTTTTAGTTCTAAAATAGTCCGTCGGCTGAAGTGCACAACACAAACCAATTTATGTCATATTACACTCCGACATCCTCCCCCCCCCCCCTCCCCGACATTATCCCCCGGAACAATTAACCCCCTGCTCAGTTACGGATAAGTTTAGGGTTAGGTTTGATGCTCTGGCTAGGTTTAGCAATAGGTTTGTAGCTGGGGTTGGGTTGGGGTTTAATTGTCAGAAGGGGTGGTATTGTCTTAAACCCTGAAAAAATACATTTATTTTATAACCTCCAACTAAATTTTAAACCCTGTAACGAAATGTAAATGTATTGTTTTTAGTTAAAAGTTGAAACAAAATGCATAAAACGTTTTAATAACAATCTTTTGTGCACTAAAAATGAGAAAAATTATGTTCTTTACAATATATAATAATACACTACAATTTAAATAACTAAAGAAAACCTGGGTCACTTTATCAGTTATTGGATACCTTTACTAATATTTATGAAGAGAACATGAAAACTATTATTTTTTTAATTAATTTTTGTTTGGTCTAATGTTCTTCGACGGCAAAAGTCTTAATATAGTTTATCTGTAGATCTAGATAACTTCATCTCATCCCGAATTTAAAGAACTGTCAAACGTATCCTATTAAATATTTATTGTAGTGTTAGTACCTAATAAAAAATAAATATACACATAACTGACAGAAAATTTAGCTTTGTAATACATTCTACTTTTCAATGGGCAACAAGTCTAATTTTCAATTGTAACCAAATTTGTTGTGAAAATAAGTAAATAAAGTAATTGTTCTCAATTTGAATAATTAAAGGTATGTTTCTAAATATATATATATGTGTTATTTAATAAATTAACGTCTTTAAATACATTTGTGTATACCATATTGGGAAAATAGAACATTGTTCTCTGCATAAATACGTGTTTACAGTTCTGCACATAGCGCAGATGCTCTAATCAAGCGGAAAAAGTAGATATAAACTCCTAAGATTTAGTATAATATAAAGTAATATTTATAACGCAGAGTGTAACATACAAATTAAATACTAGCAGTTTGTTAGTATTAAATGAATATCAGCAGGATTGACCAGTAGCGTAGCGAGGGGGGGGGGGGCGGGGGGGGGAACATATGTCCCCGGGCGCCGACCTTAGGGGGGGCGCCAAATTGAAAGTTTGAGGGGGGGGGGGGGGTGCAAATGAAAAGTTCGAGGGGGGGGGGGGGTGCAAATCGAAAATTTGCTCCCAAGGGGGCGCCAAATTGAAAGTATGTCCCCGGGCGCCGGGAAGGGTCGTTACGCCTCTGGGATTGACAACTTCTAACAGCACATTTATCCATGACCATATTTGGTTTTATGGGCTTTTGTTGAGTTGGCTTCATATGGGCTGCTGTAGTGTAATGGGCGATACAATGAATGGCTATTATAAAAAATTAAATTGTAACCACTTCCCTTTCCTCAACTTCTCAGCCCCTCGCGAAACTGTAGACGCGTAGGTATTTCCCCATTACTTCATAGGGTATTTCCATATTTCGACGTAAGGAATTTCCCCATTACAACACAAAATATTCCCGATAAGGTATATCCCCATTACAATAAAAATATTTCCCTATAACAATATGACGTGTTTGCTCGGTACAACATAACATGATACGCCATTTGCACGTAAGGTGTTTCCTCATTAGCCGTGCGGGTTCAACACAAATTGGCCCCGATAAAACGACCCTGTCATAAGAGCCCCATCAAATCTAACCCGTCAAAACTGTCAGGTACAAATAAGCCCTGTCAAATAGGCTGACGACAAATACGCCCCCACCAAAAGGGCTCCAGAAAATAGTCTACAGTCATGTAGGCTCCCAACAATTATGTTCCCGTCGTTTTTGCCCCCGACAAAAATGCCCCTTGTCAATATGGTTTCCGTAGAGTATCTAAAGGCGAAAGGCTTTATTGAATCTGGCACCTGCAAATGGGACCCCTTCGTTAATAGTTTTAGAGTTAGCTTAGTCAACAGTTAATGCAACGTATGCAGCTCTTGTTCGGCAGGACTTATTCTTGTTATATTTTATCTAGTATAAGAAGTAATATATTTTAAATGTAAGGGCCATCATCTCGCTATGACTTCCATCAATTGAGTCGGTTGGGTTCTGTTCCAACTCAGTGTGTGGGGAGACAGGTCCACGATGTACATTTATTTGCAGTATGCGCATAGGTTGTCATAACGAAACTTCCACAGTAACACGTAAATATTTCCCCAGCAAAACCTACGTGTTTTTTCTTCGAACTTTCCTTAGTCAATAGCAAGTAAAACGCAATTATATTACTAGACGTTACATTTAAAACTTCGGGAAACCTCAACATTTTATTGACTGTTAAAAGAATCCCACGTTTAATAAAAACATACGTGGAGCTATCGATTTAAACGATCGTTTAAAAAAAAACAGCTTAGACTGTGGGCTAGTTTTATTGAAACTGAAAGTAATAGATTAAGTAAAAATGGAGAGCTACTATTGGTTTTGACTTGCATGTAAAATCATATTCAGGTAACAGAACACAGCAATATAGGCAAGTATATTGTAATTGTTTTAATATAATATAATAAATGCAGCTTCTTTGCTTTGCAGCTTACACAACTAGACAGAGATTCTGTTTAGATAATGTTTTGAATACTTTTTTTTTTTAAATTTCATACAATTTTAAAATGTGTAAATAATGCAGTATAGTTGAAGGTAAACATTATACTAGAAAAATACATTACTAACTGTAGATAAGACTTAATACTGTAACAAAAATGTGAGTGTGTTATTCTAGATTGAAAGTGACGAGCCAACTGTATAGCAAGAGCCGATCACACCTCTTGTATGTAATTAATTGCAGGTACGTATGTTGGTCTCTTCCCTAATTATGTATGTATGTCCTGTACTCACTTATTCCCTACATGTCTACAACACTTAGTTGACATAGTAAACAATGCCAACATTCCAGTTATTTCCTTTCGCGGTTTTAAAATATAATCTTAAATTACACAAAAATATAACATTTAAACTATGTTTGAATTGTGTTTTATCGGAAATAACAGCAAACTAGATTTGAAAGATAAGGCATCGTTTTTTTTATAACTATGCTTCAAAGGAAGCAAGAATTTAAAGTTAACTGGCCAAAAATTTCTGGATTTAACGATATTTTTGTGTTGTATAGTTAGCTCTCTTATATTATGTGGTGTCTGAGTTCGGTCTTTGTGTTTAGCTAGCTTGTGTTTTCCAAAATGGCAATCACTGTTTTGTAAGTTAGTTGTTCAGTTATATATTTATTTCTAGAGAACTGAATTCTAAGATCAGTATACCGTCTAATACACTCACAGTTATGCATCGCATTATTAACATCTACAGGTACATAAGAAGCAAGGATGAAGTTGAAGATGATTGTTACCCTGATGATTTTAGCACTATTGGTTCCAGTAGAGGGGCGTAACTCTGGGCGTAACTCTTGTGTGCAGGCGTGTCGTACTGCTGGTGCAGCTGCGAAATTTCTGTCGCCTGTTCTCAAGTTTGCTGACTACGACGCAGGTTAGATTTTGTAGTTTTAGGTGCTTTAACCACAGGTGGTTTGACCACAGGTGGTTTGACCACAGGTGGTTTGACCACACGTGCTTTGATCAAATAAAATAAAATTTTGTAAGACAAGTTTTCTTTTGGTTGAAATTAAAAGAATTTAACGTGTGCTATAAAAGTCAATAAAAGTTATTTATGTTCACATAAAGCCAGTGCTAGGCCTACCAGATGACTTGTTTTTATACACGATGAATAGTTTTATTAATTCATTACCTCAAATTTTAAAATATAATTAGCAACTTTTTGATTAGAATTCAAGCTTTAAATTTTTCTCCCAACAGGAAAACATCTATCAAGAAAAAACATCGGCATGGCACAGCAGATATGCGAACGATTTTGTAAATAACCAGATATCTTAAAGATGATTGTGTCATGTTGCTGTATTAATGTTGGTTTTGGACCTTTTTAACACGTTTTTCTTAACTCAGCTTCGCGTTTGTTTGTTTGGTTGTTTGGATGTTTGTTGTTAAAATTGACATCGAAAATTAGCCCACTTCTGATTGCTCTAGAGACCTGAAATTTGGCATGCATGCTACTTTCACCTAACAATTTCAGATGCAATCATAAAAACTAGCAATTAGTGACCGTAATTAGCTTAATTTAATTACGCCCCAAGGACCATAAAATTGAGGACATGATTTCTAAAGATACCGACAAGACTGGAGGCCTATTGACACAGTTACTTCGGCCCCAATCGATGTGAGCGCGCTGGCCGTGATCGTATAGTGGTTAGTACTTCGCGTTGTGACCGCGACAACCCAGGTTCGAATCCTGGTCGCTCAAGATTTTTAGTCCGTGTATTTATAAACACTTTTTTAAAAACCACGTTTTTCATGTGTAGCAACGGACTAAAAAGGAGAACGGACACGGTAACACATTGTTAACGGTGACACGGTTGGTACGCTGGGTATGCTAAAATACACATAAACACGTTTTTCCTTAACTCAGCTTCGCGTTTATTTGTTTGTTTATGGGAGATTTGATCACGTGATTCGTGAGTAGATCTCCACGCCAGCAACGTAAATTACACCCTGTTTAAAGCGTATCGGTCGCTCAAGATTTTTTTAGTCCGTGTATTTAAAAACACTTAGTCAAGTCATACTTAATCAAGTGATTAGATAAAGTAGAAAATAAACTATATAAAAAACGTTTTAAAAACCACGTTTTTCATGTGTAGCAACGGACTAAAAAGGAGAAAATAAAATACTTAAAAAAACTTTTTAAAAAACCACGTTTTTCTTGTGAACTAAAAAGTAGAAAATAAATTTTCATACATTTGATGACAAAAAACGTGGGTCGGGCAGATGGGTCGGGAAATTTGATGGTGAACGTACCCACGTTTTTTGTCATCAAATGTATGAAAATTTATTTTCTACTTTTTAGTTCACAAGAAAAACGTGGTTTTTTAAAAAGTTTTTTTAAGTATTTTATTTGTTGTTATAAAAATGATATAAGCAAAAGTCAGAATTTGTAAAAAAAAAATTTCTAATTTAGCTAAACAAAAGTTGCCGTAAAATATTGAATTGCAGAATATGATACTGTTCAGTTTTTAAAATATGAACAGGTTACGAAAATTGTAAGTAATAGTTAAACAACAATGGCTATTGGATTATTTTAAAATTTATATTTTACTGCATTAAAGCTATAACTCTGTGTTATATTCACATTATTTTGATGTTCCAAAGCATTTAATTACAAATTGTACACGTGTATACAAAAATAAATATTTTGTTTGAAATTTCTGCATACGAACGTGATGTTTCTTTGTTTGGCTTACAAATGACTGCAATTTATTTTAAGAGTGTTTTAAACTGCGCTGGTTTTAAACATCGTGAAGTTTCTAATTGCTTAGAATTCCTGTCTAATGTATAATTATACCTTAATTTGCAAGTATCAACATTATGAAGTTCAGGTACACTTAACCACCTCAATGATTGTTCTGTTTAAAAGTAACTAATCAATTTTGATTATATTTCCTAATAATTTGAAATGATAAAAATAAAATAAAATTTTGAATAGAAATATGTTGTCTAATTAGGTTAAAAATAGATATTTATGCATTGTCTTCGAAGAAGGTATCTATAAAGGTTGAACGACATCGCTGCATTAGAAGTGGGTCAAAATTTTAATGTAACAAATACAAACACAACAAATGAGCACAAGCAAACAAACATTCTCTGAAAACTAAAGGCTTGTAAAAATTAAAATATATGTCTCGTTTTTTTAAAATTTAATCAATCTCTTACCGTATTTGTCGTTGCTAAAAGTGTAATTTTAATAAAATTATATTGTTACTAGGATTAAAGATTTTTTTGTTTTTAAATAAGCTATTTGTTAAGAAAAAATATTTTATTTAACCTTACAGCCAATAAACAAATAGATTGTGTTAATATAATTTAATAAATAACGTTTCTGAATAGGATTAATATTCGCAAGCATTTGATCTTCTATATTATAAATTAAAATGAAACAACATAAATTTAAAATTTATAAACTGTGATATGTAAAATAAGTTGAGCTAAAAACTGTGATTTTTTTTTAAATTAACAAGCAAATTAGTTTTGGTCATATAATGATAGGAGGTCTGTTGCTTTCATACACTATTGAAATACGAAATACTTCACCAATACACAAATAAAACAGCATCTTTCTTAAAAGTTTAATTTTACGACATTAAAAATAAAAACCAATGTATTTACATATTATATTTCAGTACAGTTAGTATATAAGATATAGTTTGAGAATACATGCTGCTTAAGCTTTAAAAATATTGTGTGATCAATTTAGATCAAAGTTGTATATGTTGTAGTACATGGATTTAGAATACAACTTTTAAAGTAGTTAGTAGTTGAAAGTAGATAACATAAATACATCAGTTCAGTGTCCTGAAGGAATAGTTATCAATAAAAAAGAGCCGTGTCTGAGTTGGATGCAGTTACGTGTGTGATGGGTGTAGTTGATTGTACTGGATGCATTTAAACAATAATGCTCACATCTAGGCTTATATGCGTGCGTTAGTGTTGTTTACGAATGGTGCTGTTGATATGTTACTGCTATGTCTAGAGTTGGTGTTGCATACATATGGTGTTCTTGATATTTTACAGCTATGTATAGAGTTGATGTTGCGGTGAATGTGATTTACCAATAGACCTTTGGTGTTTTGTTTTAATTAAGTCTGATTTGTTACGTCGGTGTACTTTGGGTGTAATTTCTTCTAGAAGTGTAATTGTTGTGGTTATCTTTGCTTAGTTTACAGTAGAAAAGATTTTGTATTTAGGCGCTAGCGACAGCACTGAGTGAAGCTTAAAGCCAATGATAGTCTACCCGGCACCAAATCTCCGACCGCCTTTCCTTCTCAAATGTGCGTACGGATTCCCTACAAGGCGGACAGGAATGGATGAATCTTCCTTTTTCTTAGCTATCTCGGTTTTAGTTGTGGAGGTTGAGGAGGTTGTGGTGGTTGGGGTGGTAGATGTGGTAGTGGTAGTTGAGGCGGTGGTCGTTGGTGGGGGAGTTCTTTGCTTGAGAATTTCTTCCCTCATCTCGGCGAACGCCTTGAGTAGGTCAGTAGGATCGTATGTGCCAGACTTGGAGACTTTCAGCATTTCGATGTACAGGTGCATCATGTGATGATCTAGGCTGGGGAATGGTGTCTTGTGCTGTGTCGCCAGCTTCTTCAGGAATTCGTTTTTATCGAAAACTGGTTTTTGTTCATATTTCTTGTCAAAAACAGGTTTTTCTTCATCTTTCTTGTCAAAAGCAGGTTTTTGTTCATATTTCTTGGCAAAAACAGGTTTTTGATTATCTTTCTTGTCAATAAGCGCAGTTTCATCTTTTTCACCTTCACCTGGCTTAGAATTGAAGTACTTGATTTTCTCTACGACTATTTTCTCCCTAAGAGGTTGGACTATTGTGGCGAACTGAAGTCCCTTACCATTGTATTTGTCTTGGTCCATAATTTCCTTTCTTAACATCATGGGGTCACGCCATAGATTGTATTTAGGGTATTTAATTGTTTGTTTGGTGGTAGGGGGTAATGTTTCAGTTTTTACAGCTGAAAGTTGGTCAGGGAGTTTTGGTTTGACGTCTTTAGTTTTGAGATCTTGCACAGGTTCTATTTTTGTCTTGACTTCCCCAAACTCTGTACGAGTCTCCTCTAATTTTCCCTCATGTTTGTCAATCTTTTGTTTGTCAGAAAACTTCTCGGTTTCTTTCCTAGCTCCGTCTGGATATGAAACTGGCTTCTCCACACTGTAGACCTTCTGTAATTCTTTAGGAAATGTCTTTAGGTCAAAATTCTGAGAGACAGAATCTCCAATGCCTGGTTGGACCCAGCCGTCTGGGTGAGTTTTTAAATCCTGCAGCTTAGGGTGTAGTGGGTCACATGAGCGTAGGTTCTCCAGCAGTTTGTAGCCTGACTTGCAGGTGCACTTGTGGGTAGCGTCAGGCATGTTTATGCAGGTGTGCTCACAGGTGTCAAGCACACTGTCACAGGTACCTGTAGGTAAATTATTTTACTGTGAGATATTTTGTCTGAGATATTTTGTATGAGATATTTTGTCGGAGATATTTTGTCTGAGATCCTTTGTCCATGGTATCATTTGTCCTAATATATTTTGTCCCGAGAACTATTGTCCTGAGATCATTTGTCCAGTCACCGTAAATTATATCTCATTACATTCGACTTATCAATTTACAGAAAGTTATTATCTTGATTTAAGTAATTGTAAACACAAATACGTGTCGAAAATGGTTTTATCGGGCAATCTAAAGTTTGAATTTGGCTTTTCAGTGTGGTAGAGTGGTAAAGCACTCTAAAGCTAACTCTAAAATCCAAAGTTCGAATATTCTCAACTTTGGTATGTACTTAGATAAACTAATGGTGGCTGGGCTTAGCTTGGCCCACATAGTTCTTATCAGTTATATTTACAAGTATTTGAACTCTAGTTTGAATGATCAGTTTGATCCTGTAACTACGTAATGCTGGTTCAATTTTTTCTCTGTGTTGACAGAAATTATATTCATGGAGCCCATAAAACATTAACTTAGTTGCTATTTACCTCTAAGAAACTGATTTTCTGGATCTTTCTTGGCAGCTGCGACCTCACAGGTGTGACTCAGCCTGCCGTCTGCACATTTGCACAAGTTGGGGTGCACACAGGTGCCGCTCTCTCCGCATCCAAAGCTGCACACGGCTGAAGGAAATTTGAACAGGTGTAGGTTTTAAATAAAGTGGTATCAAATTTGACATTCAACGGTGAAATGGTACTATGGATTATATGACCGGAAAATGTTGACAGTTAATATGAAGGTAAGGAAGATCAGCCGGTTTTATTGACGATTACTTCCCATAAATTCTAGAATACTCTTTTAGACTTTGTCTACTAAAACAAGTAAAATGGCAGGCTAATTAAACGTGTCGCCCAAATAAAAATTTTCATTAGTTTTGGAGTGACATTTTGTCATAAACTAGACATACGTATTGCTGAATGTTTATTTATAATGTAGACATACGTATGGTGCACGTGCGCATCAAGGTCATCTTCCAACCGTCGCAGCATCGCTTCCTGGCGGGTCCACAGACATTTGGTCCACTGTAGGATAGTGTAGGGTAGTGTAGGGTAGTGTAGGGTAGTGTAGGGTAGTGTAGGGTAGTGTAGGGTAGTGTAGGGTAGTGTATGGTAGTGTAGGGTAGTGTAGGGTAGTGTATGGTAGTGTAGGGTAGTGTAGGGTAGTGTAGGGTAGTGTAGGGTAGTGTAGGGTAGTGTAGGGTAGTGTAGGGTAGTGTAGGGTAGAGACACATTGGGGACAGTTGGAGGGTGGGAAATAGAAAATATGTTTTTAATTAAATACATAATACCACATAAAAGCTCTTTTATATTGTTATATATATATATATATATATATATATATATATATATATATATATATATATATATATATATATATACATATATATATATATATATATATATATATATATATATATATATATATATATATATATATATATATATATATATATATATATATATATATATGTATATATATATATATATATATATATATATGTATGAATTAACATGTACAGGTACATGTAGATGTAGTTGTATATGTAACTGTATGTGCATGTGCACGCGCATGTGCATATATATATATATATATATATATATATATATATATATATATATATATATATATATATATATATATATATATATATATATATATATATATATATATATATATATATATATATGTGTGTGTGTGTGTGTAATTTTTGTCAGTATGTATGTGTCGTATGTGCGCACATTTTGTTAAGTTGCGTGCGTGTTTGTGTGTGTGAGTGTGAGAGAGAGAGAGAGAAACGTGTGTGTAACAAACATAGATATATTTTTTTCCTCACCTGATGTATCCGAATCTGTGCGGGTTTACAAACGCCAGCCCATACGTGGACGACACAAGAAACAAAGACAACAACAGAACGTTGTTTCCCCCTCCTGCCTTCATGGTATAAGATGGGAGGTAACTCTCTGGTGACAGAAGTGGCTGGTTGTTTCTCACTCCTGCCGGGTCATGCGCTTTTACTAAATTTAATAATATAAAATTTATTTTTGTAAAATTATTGAGTGAAAATCAGAAAACGAAAGGGGTGTATTCAAATGTTTATGATTGACATTATGCGTTGCTTTTTGCACCGAATTCTTCAACCACAGCAACAGGCCTAAGCAACAGGCCTAGTGTCGTAGTCTCGCAGCTGACGATATTTGAGGCAAATGGTAAATGAGCATGAGTGCTCTATAATTTGCATAAACCATGGGGCTTTTAACGAATATTTTATATTTTGTAGCGGATGGTTAAATGCACGCCTTAGTTTTAAGATTTACCTGTATTTTATAAAAATTCTTTTATGTAAAAGTAAACTTATGGCTCCACATTAATTAATTTAAAAAATGTTTGCAAGCTTAGAATACAAGAAGTAATTTATATATGCTTGCTTTTATGACATAATATTCCATAGAATTATTTAATAGATAATTCTCTCTACATATTTATAATGTTTATAGTGTATTCAAATCATCATTTATGGTCCACATAGTAATGCACTGGGTAAATCTGTAGTACCAAAATCAGAGCAGTACACAACAGTGTTCGAGGGGAGGGGGCGGACGGAGAAGAGCTAATTTGGTTAGACCTCTTCGTGGGCCACCGGAGAGTTGGGGGGGGGGGGGGGAGAGAGAGAAGAAGAAATTATTTGGTTAGACCTTTTCCATAGCCGCACGAATCGCATGTAAAGAAAAATGTGCTAAAAAAATACCCCTCCCCTCCCCGCCCACTCAAAACCCTTCCTACGCTATTCTTATCAAAACACAAAAAACGTGAATATGAAGTTTTAATATTTCTTCAACCTTTAAAAAACGAACCCAACATTTTTATTTCACAATTTTTATCAACCTATTGAACTCGTAACATATATTACAAACCAATAACAACAATTTTTTAAACACACTTGGCACCAAACAAACGGCTTTTTCCTATCTTTTATGTTAATCAAATACAAACACAGTAGGGGCCTATCAGAGCCGGCGTTAGGAATACGCGGGGCCTAGGGCCAACCATCCGCGCGGGGCCTTTCCATTATATATATATATATATATAATATATATATAAAGGCCTATATAATGTAATGTACACATAATAACACAAATGTTTTGGAGTTTATAAGCTAATGTCAAACTTTCCACTATAATAACAGATTTTTATCTCTTCCATGTATTAACCCAATGTTCGTAGTTTGTTTTTTTCCTTTGCTAAGATATTAAATCACTTTTAACAGTTATGCAATTCATACCAAATCACTTAAGAAAATTTAATCACGTGCCGAATAATTAGGAAAATAAAGTTTACAATACAGCGAACTCGGCCTGATGTATCAAAACAGTATAGACTTCAAAATTTGTTTAGAATTCATACAATATTTTAAAACCAAAATCAGTATTGTCTTAATTATTGAAGGGGTGAATCCTTAAGGTGACACAACATAACAACAGTTTTAACTTTCTTCCAAAAAATAATAATAAATCACTCTGTTTAATGCCGCCTGATATAGATCCTAAGGCCCCCCTCCTCGTCGCCCTCCTCCCACCCCTCTGCACGCAACTGAATGTTAATTTTGTTATACCAAGACGATAAGGCCTACATATATATAGTGTCCGCACCCCCCCCCCCCCCCGAAGAAAGTCTACCCCCCCCCCCCCCGAAAATTTCAAGTGCCCCTCCTCCCCGGAGAAAAAAGTCTGGAAGAAACACTGTACATATACGACATTATACGACATCTACAACAAGAAAGTCAGGACTAGAGTTCATCAGGTCACTAACTGTCTACTATAGACATCCCGTCTGCTCACTAAAAGGACGTCTTCATCGGTCCGCATACAATAGGGTATCTTTTTACGTCGTGGGCTAATTCTCGACCGCCATCTCCAGTCAGCTCAGGTCAAATGCCAGGCGACCGTACCCTACACAAAGGGTAGGTGTGACACTATTTTTGTATCGAATTACGGCCTTTCCCAGTTCAGGTGGGACTCACCAACAGCAACCGTGGCCTCAGTTATAACAATCAACAACGTCGGCATTCGACCATTTAGTTTTTCCCAATTGAATTTTTTTAAGTTTACGAACTAATTCAGATAACGATGACATTGCTGAAGCGCGGGGCCCCTTCAAGCGCGGGGCCTATGGCGACCGCCCCGTTCGCCACCCCCTAACGCCGGCTCTGGGGCCTATGATAAAGCTCATGGTTAATAATAATAATAATATAATGTAAGCTACATTTATCTGACGGCTAAAATGATCAAATCGAACGTGTACATTAAAAGAATAGTTATAAAAACAAATGTAATCATACAGTTATGAATATGAGTGAAAAAATTTTGAATTGAAATTTAATGTAGGCAACTGTTGAACCAAATGTTCTACTTACATGTGTAATGTGTACTGGTCTCACGGTGTGGGCTATTCAATGCCTGACCCAGTTAGTGTCTGGTCGAGTACGTGTTTGGCCGAGTCTGTGTTCGTCCAGTACTTCCACGGCCCAGTGATGACCCCTAGCGAGCAGGGGAGATAAGAGATATCAGGTGGCTGGATTAGTTTCGTGGGGCGGGGCTATTCGTTTAGTTATCACGTGTTTGCTTGTAGATGCTGTTGAAAGATGTCTGTAATGGTGTTTTGATTGTCTGTTTTGTTTGTTTAGAGAGGTGTAGCTGTGTTTTTATGGGCCTCTTTGTTACGACGTTTGTAGTAGTATTTTTAAATTGTTTTTATTTGTGAAGAAGTTTGTAGTGTTGTTTTTAAATTTGTTAAGAGCTTTGTAGCTATTTTTGTCTAGGGCCTACTTGTTAAAACTTCCGTACATAAACATGTGGTTTATACCTATGTTATGTGTATATGTGAAAGTGTTATTGTACTTGTTATAATATAAAGGACGTTACGATAAATCTTTCTTTTCATACTGTTGATACTTTTAGTTTGTGTAACAAATGTTATCAAACCACTAATACTTTGGTTATGTACGTGACTTAGGACTAAAGCTGCTACATAAGAGTGAAATTGCCTATACATTTGCTAAACACTTTTACATATCTAATGTACTAGATCAAGACTTTTATCTTAATTAGTCTGGGCTTGTCCGGATAGCTACATTATGTTTTCTTCAGACGATTTTTTCTCCGGTAGCTGGTCGACTAGGCCAATTAAAATTTGAATTGTTAGGATAAATGTCCGGACCAGGGGCGGAACTACAGTGCTGCCAGACCCCGCAATGTGGGGGGGGGGACGACCCAGTTTAGGGGCCCACAGCCGACCATAATCAATTTTTTTTAGTTTAAAAATTTAATTAATTTTCTTTCTTTTTTGACCTGATGGTTGTTTTGTTAAAAGACTAATGTAGCTACGGTTGGATTATCTTTACTCTATAGACATCATCCCACGCTCTTGTATAATTATTCTCTTTCTCTTTGTTTTTAAACCATTGTGAAAGATAGGCAAACGTTTAAACCACTTCCATAACTTTTTTCCCTTCTAGAAATTGTTAAATAGGGGTGCTCATAGGCTCCTTTTAATAAATTTGTACTAAACAATTAAAAATCAATTACTTCTCTTAATTATTCCGCCACTGAGTCCGGGCATTTATAAGCCATTTATGAGATATGTGTGGGACTTTTCTTCCTGCAGATCTACTCGGTTATGTTTATGTCAATAAACGTATGTTTAAGGCCGTGTAATATTTGTAACAAAACCGTTCTATTACTACTTAAAATTAGACGTTAGTTATTTCATCTACTGTACGCCTTTTTTCGTCATCTGTGACATCTATTGTAAGCCGTTATTGATGTAATCTGTGACATCTACTGTAAGCCGTTATTGATGTCATCTGTGACATCTACTGTAAGCCGTTATTGATGACATCCGCGATCAAGCTATACCCAGGATGGATGTACTCACATTGATAAAAGAGGACTGTAAGTACAAGGCAGCGCTGTTTATATGGAACATGTACTCACACAACTGTTTCTATGAGACTTGTACTCACACAACTATACTCACACAACTGTTTATATGTAACTTGTATTCACATAATTATGTATTTGGAGCCTGTACTCACACAACTGTTTATATGGAACCTGTACTCACACAACTGTTTATATGGAACCTGTACTCACACAACTGTTTATATGGAACCTGTACTCACACAACTGTTTATATGGAACCTGTACTCACACAACTGTTTACATGGAACCTGTACTCACACAACTGTTTATATGGAACCTGTACTCACACAACTGTTTCTATTGAAATTATACTCACAAATGTGTTTTCTAACACAACTTGTACTAACACAACTTGTACTAACACAACTTGTACTCACACAACTGTTTCTATGCAACGTGTACTCACACAATCACACTGGTTACCCTGTTTTTAACAATCCGTCATAGATGAATTGTTAGCGTGGGTCACTTTAGTATCTATTGGATACCTTTACTAATATTTAGGAAGAGACCCACGCTTTTCTTTATAGTAATTTAAATAGTAGTGTCTAATATTTAGGAAGAGATCCACGCTTTTCTTTATAGTTAATTAAATAGTAGTCTATAATTTATTTTCTACTTTTTAGTGCATTATTACATAAGCTTGTTATTAAAACGTTTTTTATGAATTTTTTACAATCCGTCATAGATGAATTGTTATATGTGTAATGCATACAACAGGTCAGCCATTAAAAAATACCTTCTTTTATAAAATGCTCATCTTGCATTTAAACAAGAAATCTGTGACAAAATGAACTTTTAAGTCAATTGGTGGATTGAAGTGACTTTGTGGTTTATCCAAAGATGGCTCGTTAGAAGCAGGATAGCGAAGTCAAGTGTTTCAAATTTATTCGGTCAGACACCGGTCATCTTACGGTCAAGGTCAGGACAGGTGGAGTGGGGATGACCTTCAAGACAGGAGTGGACAACTCTTGTTTAGTGGTAAGCGTTTGTAGTAGTAGTAGCATAGCTACCGTCAGAGTTGGGCGGGGCTTAACTTGAACTTATGATTAGTGACACATAAAAATACTCTTGACTTGATGTATAAATGTTTCAGAATTCTCGATTACTTTGGTTTCTATTGCATTAAATATACACAAATACAAAGACACACACACACACACACACACACACACACATATATATATATATATATATACATATATACATATATATATATATATATATATATATATATATATATATATATATATATATATATATATATAGGCCTACATATATACTCTAAATTTTAATAAAAAAAACAATCTTCCACTAGCAACACCCAATCAATTTTAATTCAAATCAATCTCTCACGACTAAATCGATGTGCCACAGTTCTCCATCTCCCGCAAATCTCGCGAAACATCAGAACCACGAACACTTATCACCAGATCAATGCTAATTAGGCAGTTTTGACATATTTACGTCTAATTATTGCATATTTACAGGTACTTTTTTAGTCGTATTACATGTAGTTTTCGCATATTTACAAGCAAATATGTGGTAAGTATTTGCAAGCGATTCTGGCATATTTACAGAACAGCGTGGCTGGTTTTTATGGCTTACTGGCAGAACATTATGGCTTATTTAATCAATATAACGAAGGTCACCGTAAACTGTACTAACGTAGCTATCCCAGACTGGAAATGAATTTTAAAATCGTTTAAGAGTCCTCATGTCCAGCCAACTTGAACTCTCCCCAACAATTGTGTTCAGTGGTCTGTTCGGCGTTCAGGGTTAACACAAAATATCTTAACAACTGAGTTGTTACTAATTCATAAAGAAAACAAAAGAACATCTTCTTCTTGTGGTACTTGTTCCATCCTTCAAACTGTTATCTCTTTCATCTGTTACAGGTGACTGGGGTATGCAAATAACTAGATCTAGCTCTGCTTTACCTCAACTAGCTAGACTTTACACCAGTCCACTACAATACGTACATAGCACACAGTCTAGAAACGTCACTGGTCTAGCTCTCTTAGATGTACAATATCTTCGCAAAACAGAATGTCGAAAGTAGTATGTTTTATAGTTATAATACTTATATTCCTTGCTTTAGGTAAGTTTTGTATATACATATCTTTTTTTTTATTTAAACATAAAAATAAATATAAATAATATAACTTAAACTGTAAAACGTTTTGCATGTGTAAAGATTTTATTTTCTTTTAAATTTAAAGACTTCATGAATAATCTACTACACGAGAAAAATGGCCCGTTGAGGAAGGATACAACGGGCGCTAGGCTGATAGTGCTGTCTCTTTTCTCTAAACTAAAACCACCCCACCCCCCCACACACACACCCCCCCACCCCCCACCCCCCCCCCCCACACACACACACCCCCATACCCCCCCCACCCCCTCACCCCAAAAACATGTCTACCGTCCCATTCAATGAAATATAATTATATACTTTTTCCAGTGTCCGCCCCTCCCCGAAAATTCTACCCCCGCCCCCGAAAATTTCAAGTACCCCCACCCCTCTCCGGGGAGGAAAAAGTCTGAAAGAAACACTGGTGTCGCGCTTAGCCACTACCCGAAGAATTGCATTAAATTTAAAGACTTCATGAATAATCTACTACATTTTACGAAAATACTATTTGTGGTGCTAATGTTTGTTTAGAACTAAAGTCAATGTTAATGTCAGATTAATTAAAAATCTAAAAGGAGAATTGTTAAATTACCGATGATCTGTGTTTAAAATAAAATTGTTTTCATTTTCTACTTTCTAATTTTGCAATTAGTACAAATTTAGATATTAACAAGTTTTAATTTCTTACAGAATTGATCAAACTTTAAAATGCTATAAGTTTTTACTGTTTCAACGTAATATGAGCAGTAGATTTTTTTTCTCCTGTACGAGACACACAAAACAGCCTCTGGTTTAATTACATATTGCAGGTTCCGCTAAAGACCGCCAGTTTCTCTTCACTGCCCTGGACAGGAGCCAGACCATGGCACTGTACACAGGTGAGAATTACATCGTCAACAGCCGCATCGAGTGTAGCACCCGCTGCACCACGTCACAGAAGCTCTGCTACAGCTTCTTGTACGACAAGGTGTCTGGCTCTTGCAGGCTGGGTGAGTTGATCGTTTGATGGTTTTATTTTCTGTTTGTGTGGGCGTTATGTGTTTTAAACATTTGTCCTGAGATAATTTGTCCTAAGATCATTTGTCCTCAAATAATATATCCTGAAATCGTTTGTCCGCAGATCATTTGTCCTGAGATCATTTGTCCTGAGATCATTTGTCCTGAGATCGTTTGTCTTGCGATCATTTGTCGTGAGATCATTTATCCTGAGATCATTTGTGCTCAGATCATTTGTCCTCAAATCATTTGTCCTGAGATCATTTGTCCTGAGATCATTTGTCGTGAGATCATGTATCCTGAGATTATTTGTCCTGAGATCATTTGTCCTGAGATCATTTGTCCTGAGATCATTTGTCCTGAGATCATTTGTCCTGAGATCATTTGTCCTGAGATAATATGTCCTGAGA